TTTGAATTATTTTTAACATCCGACTAACAGCACTTTTAACAAATTTGAACATTGATGATATGCTTATTTATTCACTAATCTCACAAAAATTAAGCTTTTAAACTGTTTATTTATATAAGGTTATGCAAAATAATTGTTTTTACTTTCATTTATTTATTTTGCATTTATTTTAGATGTAATATTTTAGCGTCATCTAGTGTTAAGTTGTTCAATCATACCCCTGGTGTTTTATTAAATGCTTTAGTGCTAATTCGGTTATGCTTCTTAAGTTGTGGCAAGTTTATTTAGTTTTGAAATGAAAGGAATTACGTATTCTATTATGTCTGGCCTTTTAGCTGCAACAGCTTCGTTGTGTGGGAAGTTGTCAATGGCAGTGGATGAAACAAAATACTTGTGTGAGGTGCTAGTTCAGTTTTATTTAGAAAAATCTAATTTCTTCGTGTTAGACTTGGAACGAGATTTAAAGTCCTTACCAACTTCAGGCTATTTTCCAATTTGTCCGAATGTGAGTAAAGTTTCTAATTTGTTATTCAGATGAGCAGTTTGGGTAATTTGTCGCCTAGTTCTATGAAAACGTTAAAATTAATAATAATAATATTAGAACATAAGTTAATTCACTTTTGAATTTTAAAACGTCCATCATCTGATGAACGTAAACATTATCCAGGGATTCCCGGCCTGTTTATTATGAGGACATTAAACATCCTGGTTGAGGACACTACTTAATTATTTAATAGAGGTTTTTGATAATATCAATAGCCACTCAAAACAAAAAACCTTGTATTGCAAGTATCTCAAGCATAAATAAGGTTGTGTAGTCATAATTACTGAAATAAATGTTGAGTTTAAAATTTTATTTTGTCTGGTATAAAAGAAGCTTTGAACTGAAAGAATGTTTCTACACGTGCCCAGATCGTGCACCCCTGTATGAGAAATGATGGACTGTTTGTTTTAAAGTTATATACACGAAACACTTTAATTATTTTACTTGTACAAAATATTGAAAAAATTAATATGTTATGAATCACACCTAGTGTTTTCAGTTTTATCTTGTAAACTCCTAACTAATTAATTCAAGACATTATATATTACTAAGAACTTGTAGACAACAAGGGAACAGTTGTCTGTAAAGGCTAGTTTTGGTTTTGGCTCCTTTCAAACCTTTTTTTTTGAGAAATGTTAAAAATTTAAATTACTCATTATTTTTCAAAAAATCGTCATTTCTTAAACTTGTGTAAAGTGCCAGCCTGATTAGTAAACTTGTGTAAAGTGCCAGCCTTGATTAGTAAACTTGTGTAAAGTGCCAGCATCGATTAGTAACCTTGCGTAAAGTGCCAGCCTGGATTACTAAACTTGTGTAAAGTGCCAGCCTGGATTAGTAAACTTGTGTAAAGTGCCAGCCTTGATTACTAAACTTGTGTAAAGTGCCAGCCTCGATTAGTAAACTTGTGTAAAGTGCCAGCCTTGATTAGTAACCTTGTGTAAAGTGCCAGCCTTGATTAGTAAACTTGTGTAAAGTGCCAGCCTTGATTAGTAACCTTGTGTAAAGTGCCAGCCTTGATTAGTAAACTTGTGTAAAGT